CCTTTCGTTCAGAGATGTAAATACGAATTTAAAAGCCCAAGTTGCACAATGTTGTGTTTATTTTGGATACGAAACAGTATTCAACGCTAGAATAGAAAATTGATTTCATCTGATTGTTGGTATTTTATATGAGAGATTAGGTCTGAGTATAACTGTGAGTTGACAAGAAAAATATATGTTGTTTATATATATATATATTTTACAAAAAGACATGGAAAATAAGTGGTGAGCCTTATTCTCCCACTGTAGAACAACCTTACAGTGTGTTTGCGTGCAACCCCACATAGGATCCCTCAACACCCCCACCAACCACATCAACCCTGACCTCTGTACGTTTATCTGTGATTGCAACAATACTAAACATGTTCACAAAGAATATTCTACATAAAAAATCAATAAAGCTACGCCCCCCCCCCAAAAAAAAAAAAATGCCAACAGATATAGCTACTGTTATACCGGTAATCCTATACAAGATAACTGTGTAATTGACATTGACATAGACAACAGGTTTAATAGGTTTACAATGAAAAATCACAGTATAATGGATAAAAATTAAATAATGGTGAGTATAGTGTAGAAATACAACGTACAAAATACTGTCTGAATAAAACTGATATTTTTGTGTTGTTTTCAAATATGTAAGGGAGCCTTGGAGTAACTTCAACTAAACGACTCTTGCCTGCCTACCATTTGCCTCTTGTTCCAGCCTATCAGCACAGCCCTCTCCTAAGCCAAGTTAGCATTAAAACCCCAAGTTTTCCCGTTAAACTTCAACTCTCCTACGTCCCTTTACCACCTTCATTCTACTGGCCTCTCTGTGCCTCCCTTCCTTCTCCAGCCTCCATTCCACCACCAATGTTACTATGTTCAGACTCCACGCTATTGAAGAAGCAAAAGCAGTTGGTTTACATGCAAAGTGAATGGTCGACGCACATCAAGGCGCATCAAAAGGTTCTGCAGCGTGTTTTTAGCAGCAGGAGCAGCGCATCTTGATGCATCGAAGCAGCTGAAGCGCCTCATGTGCAATCAGCGGAGCAACAGATACTGGAGTTGGAAAAATGTAACTTTTGCTGCTTGACGCACCACATCAACCAATCAGAGAAGCTGATCTGGGAGCTGGCAGGGAGACAGACACAGCACTGCTGATGCAGATTGATATGAGGAGGCACCAAAATGATAAAACGGAACATATTTTGCCTGCAGATTGCGACATGTTCCATTTGATCATTCTGGTGCCTGCAGGTTGGAGATCACATACATGAAAATCATTTACATCTCCTTCCAGACGAGACTAACATTAACGGGGAAAAAATCCCCAAGAGGCGAACAAGTTTGATGCAGCTGTTGCTGGGGAATTCCACTGACAGCGAACCGCCGGTGTAGGGGGGGTTACGTGCTGGTTCGACAGCAAAATAATATTTGAAGGTAGGATCGCGATCTTAAAGGAATAGTACACCCAAAACATGATTAGCCTTCATTTTCTACTCACCCCCATGCTGAACAACACTCTGGAGTACTTTTTTGATATCTCAAATGCATCTGGAGATCTGGGAGGCTTCTTGCTGTCTGCTGACATTCAAATAATGGAGGTCTATGGTGCCCGAGACAGAAAGGTCCATAAAAGTCCACAAAAAACGTGTCAATATTCCTCCATACTGCTCGTCCAATGTATTCCAAGTGTCCTGAGTGGGTAGCGTCCATAATTTACTCGAAACGAAGTCATTTAGAATGTTTTTAGAGCATAAACGGTAGTGTATAGGAGTTCCTAAAAGCGCGTTCACGAGTCTACGGAAACCGCGGCAGACCAAACCAGAAGAAAGTGCGCATTCAGCTCGGCAAAGAACTCATGCTCTTCCTCAACAATGAAGTCCTCAGACATTTTTCTTTCGTTGTTTCTTTCTTTGCACAGGTAAACAGCACATTTCTTCTTCTACGCTTGCATTATCGGCAGAGCAGACGCTGAATGCGCACTTTCATCTGGTTTGGTCTGCAGCGGTTTCCGTAGACTCGTGAACGCGCTTTTAGGAAATCCTATACACTACTGTTTATGCTCTAAAAACATTCTAAACGACTTCACTTCGAGTAAATTATGGACGCTACCCACTCAGGACACTTGGAATACATTGGACTGTTGGGAGCTGGAGAAGTACCACCTTCCTCCAGCAGAGTCCGCCGTGGATCCTCCTGAGTCGAGCCTCCTGCACAGCTGGAGCTCATCCCATCATTAGAGGATCCACAGTACTTAAGCTGTCTTCAGACCTTGCCTCAACGCCGCAGTGTTGATCCAGTTGGTTAGCACCTAAGCCTCGTATCTCTGAGAACCTTTGTTGACTTCTGAATCCAGACTGGATTCTAACTTTTGTCTCTGTCTTCCAGGAAACCAGTTTTTCTCCTGTGAAGCTCTGGAAGAGCTTAACCTGCCGAGCCTGCCCTCTGAGCCAAACCTGAAGCCTCTCTCTGAACTTCCATACAGCTCTGGACCAAGAGCTGGAAACTCAAAGTCAAGGTCTGCTCACTCTTTAGAAGTAAGACGCTGAAGCAGCTTACGGACTCTGCTGAACAAACCATCTCTGGACCCAACAGTTTCTCTCTCAAGGCTTTAACCAAGAACCCTCAAGGTACAAATCTGAAACTGTCAAGAATCAAACTCCTATGCGCAACGCTAACTGAACTGTCTCTCACGCAGACTCCGGTGAACCAGTTTCCCAGGCCTGAACCAGAACCAGTCATTCTCTTGTGCTTGTGACAATAAACTCTGTTAAACCTTTTACTCCAGTTTCTGTCTCAGTGGTGTTCTGCATTATTGGGTCACACCAGTGAACCCAACATGACATGGACGAGCAGTATGGAGGAATATTGACATGTTTTTTGTGGACTTTTATGGACCTTTCTGCCTTGGGCGCCATAGACCTCCATTATTTGAATGTCAGCAGACAGCAAGAATCCTCCCAGATCTCCAGATGCATTTGAGATATCAAAAAAGTACTCCAGAGTGTTGTTCAGCATGGGGGTGAGTAGAAAATGAAGGCTAATCATGTTTTGGGTGTACTATTCCTTTAATGAATTGACTGCGCAGATTAAGTTTTCAGGTGGACTTTCTCACTTAAAAACATATGAAAACAACTTTTTTCCACTTAAAACAGCAAATATAGAAAAGCCACTCTCTGCCATTGAACGCGGGAGCAGCAGAAGAATCGGACGCATCTGAACACACTTTACTGGACCTGCTTCAGTAGCGTCAAGAAGCTCTTGAGGCAATGCGGCTGCTCAGTGGCACAGTGGGTAGCACTGCTGCCTTGCAGCAAGAAGGTTGTGGGTTGGATTTCTGGCCCGGGGTCTTTCTGCATGGAGTTTGCATGTTCTCCCTGAGCAAGCGTGGGATCTCTGGCTTCCTCCCACAGTCCAAAATCATGACTGTTAAGGTTAATTGGCTTATCTAAATTCTCCTTAGGTGTGAGTATGTGTCTCTCGCCCGCAGACAGCTGGAGATAGGCACCATCACCCTTCGTGAACCCACTTGGGATTAAGCGTGCCAGAAAATGGATGGATGGATGGAAACAGCAGAAGCTTTTTTGCTGCACCAATCACGTTAGGTGTGAATGTAGCATTAGACCCCGGCGTGGAAAAAAAGTCTCTAACATAGATCTACCGGCTCACACAAATCTACAACCTGCTGGTTAATCCCAGAACCAAACTGCAGCAAAGTAACAGGAGTAACTTAGAGGTACGAGACTGATGAACAATGAAGCATCCCAAAAGAAACAACTGCCCTCCTGGCTTGGCCATCCAACTTCAGATCCAGCCAAAATTTTCTGAAATTTCATCAACAAAATGTCACAAATCTGGAAAAGTTAGAGAAATTGTTTCCAGCTTAACAATGAGTGTATTTGGTCATTTCTGTTTATGTCCGTTTCGATATTGAGTAAAGAAAGCCAACAGAAGCTAAAAGGGACTACATATTAGTAGTGTTGCACCGATACCGGTATCGGACGGGGCCCCGATACTGCCCTAAAATGGTGGTATAGGTATCGGCGAGTACCAACAAATAGGGCACAGATACCATTTTGAGAGCCATAAGTTTATTCAACTATTGTCACCCACTCCTGGTAGGCAAGAAAAACTTCTTATTTTTATTATCCAGTAGAACTTTTTATTAAAAAGTTCTACTGGATTCACTGTGTATTAGATTTTTTCCTGCTTCACAAAGGTAGGCAGCAGCTTGACAAAGCCATGATGGCAATTATTTTACATTATTATGGTATCGGTATCGGCCGATACTGCACAGCCAGGTATCGGGTATCGGTATCGGGGCCAAAAAATGCCATCGGCGCAACACTACATACATATTAGCCAACCCTTGCTAGAGTGTTATGAGCAGTTTTTTTTTATAATGTTAAGACAAACTTTATCTCAATAAAGGTTTGACGAGTAATATGACATTAACATGTATGAGTTTCCAAAGACAGCAATTACACTTTATTGCTCAAATATGAACAAAGGGCATTTAAAATGAATTCCCTGATTCCCTTCTTTGTCTTCATAATAAAACAAACCTAGCTAAAGAAGGTAAAAGGTCCCTGCCCTAACACACAGTTTGACAATATTCCACTTGCTTTGATTTGACCTAATTCCAAACATGATTTCTTTAATATAAACTTTGGTTCTCAAACATTGTGACATCATTTAATCCTTTTATTAAAAAAAGTTAATCGTTTGTAAATACAATCTTTTCAGCACAGTGTCTATATTTACAACCTAAACTGTACAGAGTCACAGCCAAAAATTACCTACAGATCGTTTCAATTTATTTACAGCAGGCTAAAAGACAAATGCATTGCACTAAAAGAAAAAAAGAAAAATTTAGTGGATTAAAAATGAAATACATAAAAGATAATTTAGTGTTTCTGTTTTACTATTTCTCTGTTGTATTCTTTTATTTTAGCTGTAATTTCAACCATATTATTTGGCATTAGGGATAATATCTGAATTTAATTTCATACCTTGTCCCTGATGCCCTGTCGAATGTTTTCTCTTTCTGCTTCCATTTTTGCATATTTTGCCTTTCTTTCCTCTTCTTGTTGCCTCAATGCTTCTTGTCTTTCTTCCTCTTTTTTCTGGGCATCAGGGTCGGCCTCCGCCTCTCCACCAAGCATTTTGCCCATGTCTTTAGTGGCCCCTGGTAATGAAGATAACAAAAAAGAGAATTATTTTTCAATAACAATAATAAAGAAAATTGACGGTGGAAATTTTAAATAAGTGCACAAAATTGCTTTTACTTAATATGTTGCTTCATTTGCTGGATCAGTAGTGCATTTCAGAGTTGGATTTATGAATAGAAATTGTTTTGAATTTCAAATTTCAGAACCATAAAAGAACAGCACTGTCTGCTTGAAAGAACCAAAGATGAAAGGCAGCCACAATAGAAAAAAAAGCTCCAGGATCATGACCCAGAGATAACAGATGCTATACTTTATTATGAACAATTGTCCTCATTGATGTGGTGTTCTTTGTCATCTCCAAAAGAAATACAAATTATCCAGCAAAGTGTACCCTTTGACCATAGATCAAGGCTTAAGACCAAATACAACATGATAACAAGGAGAAACTGAAGTTCAACTTGTTAATATATGAATATTATACATACCAGAGTAAACAATTACTTCTTAAAACACTTGCATAATATACAAAATAATGTGCATTTTATTGGAAATTCACCTATGACTGACACAGAGTAGTGTATGACGTAAAATTACAGGAAAGGGGACACAAATTTCTGACCTCTAAAATAAAAACATTGTCTATTGCAGTTCATTCTACTTTTATGCCCCTAACTAGAATCCAGTGGAACCAACCTTCAGTGGACCATTTTAAACAGGCTGTCATTGTTACTAATCACTTTATTTTGTGGTAGAAGAACTCTTTCAATTTTGTCTTCCGTAACGTAACTTTTTCTTGAAGACCTGGGCACACACACAACCTTTCTAAAACAACAAGTAAACAGGACGCATGCGAGTGTCAGTTAAAATCAAGTTTCTCTCTGTAGCCCTGGGAATTTTGTCTAAGAACACTAGTAAACAAATGTGAAGACCGAGGAACATAGACAGGTCAGGTATGAGGTTTGAGAGGAGTTTAAAATAGGATAAAGTTATAAAGCACTTTTTTTTTCATTCCCAAAACACGAAGACCATGTAAGACCTCTCAACCTGCCAAAACATTGTAAACTGAGAGTCCAGTCAAAAATAGGTTAAATCCCCCTATCCAAAAATCCAACAAGTCTTATGTAAGTTAAGCTGCTATAGGCTTAGACTGCTGGATGACACGGAGGCCACTTTTTATCCTTTTGCTTCATCCTGTCTCAGTATTTAATAGTTCAAACTCTGACTTGATGTTCTCTCTATTTTAAAATCATTAAATTGTGAAAAGAGTAAATTTGTGTTTATGTAATTTGGCTTTAAAATATTCTGCTGATTCCCCATATACAAACATTCATCTATCCGATCTCTAGTCTCTTACACCTTTATCTTACATTGATTTTGTATAATTACATACCAAAGAATATCCCATTTTCTCCTTTATGTGGAAAAAAGTCTTCCTCCTACACTCAACAACATACTGTAACTGTTGGTGGAGGAGTGCAGCAGGCAGTGGGCTCCAGTTAGTTTATGAAAGAAAGCCAGTTTTTCCTCTGTAAAAGAACTTAAACTTCTCAACTTTTGAAAAACTTTAAGGAAACATGCTAAAACCTCTTACTTTGCATTTAACACTTATTTGCTCATTTTTTATTTAGGAAGCAACAACCTCATTATTACAAAATATCATTATTTACATGGCAGTAAACTGTCTAAACCCAAAACATTAGAATCAGAACAGTGATAAAATGCAATGGTATTTGAAATACTGAATAAGGGGCAATATAAGGAGGAGAAGTAAATGTAGGAGAAAAATAACAAAGGAATACAAACTTATAGGTAGTGCAAACTCTCCTGAGAAAACTAAGCATGCCTTATGGTGTCTATGTTATACTACACTGCCTTTCAATTAGGAGCTATTGCTTGGCACACATCATAATTTGTCATTAGAGTTAGTTGTTGCAACCATAGTTGATAGTAAAAAGAGTAACAAAATCCACCTTCTATCATCTAGAGCAGGGGTGTCAAACTGGTTCCAGAAAGGGCCGTATGGCTCCAGGTTTTCATTCGAACCAAGCAATAGCACACCAGACTCCATTCATCTCATCAAGTGAGTCCAATCTGAACATGATGAAATGAATGCAGTCTGGTGCTACTGCCTGGTTGGAAAGAAAACCTGCAGCCACACGGCCCTTTCTGGAACCAGTTTGACACCCCTGATCTAGAGTATATGTTGCCAAACTTGTTAGCATTTGACCTGTAAAATGTCCTGCAAAATGCCACCAGAGAGAACTCATGACCCAAACTATTGGTTGAATATACAAACTTTATTTCAAAATCAATCAACCACTGGTCTAAAAATACTACAAATAGCATCAGTAATTATAGTTGACAATTTTTAAGTGATGCTTTAACATCTTAAAGCACTTTTAATATGAATGTTTATTGTTTAGTTTAACTTCTAAAGAGGATCTCAAGACCCCATACTGCCTGATCAACTTTGGGAATCAGTTACGTAGATACTCAAGGAAAAATTGCATAATGTCTCTGTGGTACCTTGAACTAATTCATGCATTCTGTTATCCTGTTAGCAGAAATGATCACTCCCCCATTGTTTTGACAGGTATGCTTAAAAAGTCGATCAGACAGCTGCCAATAGCACCGAATGCTGCTTCCTTCTGTAAAAAGTAATTATGGGATAAATTGGTATGATAACAAATACAATCTTGGCTTATTAGAACACCCAAAATATTTCTCACTTAAACAATTTTAGAACTAAGGATAAGTTAAGCCCTTATCAAGTTTTCAGTTATATAAAATCTCAAGAAAATGTTCCAACAAAGCTTAGAAATTGATAACTGAGGATACAGATTTTGGCTCTTAAATTTAAGCTGTTATTTTATATGACCAATATTCTGTGGTGTTTTTAGCTACAAAGGCATTTTTTTTCTAATTTGGATATGAAGTGAGTAAGCTACACAGACTAATCTGAAGAGTCACCCTCCATGTTGGAATCATTACCTTCATTTGAACGTGTCTGTGAGCTCTTACTCTTGAGATATTGGCTCTTCTTTCTGGCTCAATGGCTGGGAACTAGGCAGTGCTTTAAAAGTGGCCAGACAATTTCTGAACCCTTGTCTCTGTGCCCACTTTCAACCCATAAAAAAAAAAAAGATTATAATGAGAGCTGGGCCTTCTTGAGTACACAGAGCAAATTTGAAATCCATCCTACTCTCATATTGACCTCAGTCCAGCACTCTTCTTGTCTTTATTAGGACCTTTGTCTCCATCTCGGTCTCAGCATGTCTCAGATGTTGAGCCTTGCAACCTCTCTTGAGGAAGAACTCAAAGACAAAACCATCTGGCTTTGTATGGAAATTGATGAGACAGTTATAACCTTGAGGTTCCCTTATGACGTCTTGAGCTTGCTACATTATACTAGGACAAGCCCCAGTCATTCCAGCAGGGACTGCCTAATTAATTATATAAAAAAAGACATTCTTTAGTGTGTCTGACCAAGCATATCTTAGTCGGTTAATAATGTATTAAAATAAATAATTCAGAGAATTTGAGACTGAGATTTTTTTTATTGCAGGTGTGCAGTGTTCATTTTCACAGACATCAGCTTCTGGTAACAGAAAATACATACATTCAATAGCATGAAGCATTCACTGTCAACCATTCAGCTACTCTCTAGTATCATATTCATTCATTATTTGTGTCAAAGCAATTAGGAGACATTTCTGATGAATACTAGTTACAAATATCTGCAGAATGTCAAGAAATTATTTTGCTCATAAAGTATTCTTATGGAAATGTTAGTACACATACACACTGATATGTTTTCTCCTTGTGTTCCTAACAGAGCACTTTTCTCGCGAGCTACACAATTACTTAAGATTCATAGAATTTCTAATAGTAGAATAGGAGACATATTTTTTATCATACTGCTCTCCTGGGGTCTCAAATTCTAATTTAATCCATGAGGCAGACAGTCTGTCTACTTTTAAGACTAGACTTTAATCTTTAAGTTTTTATAAAGATTAAAGTTAGTTTATTTTTACAGAGGACTAAGGATAACCTGAGCTATCACTGCAGTTATGCTTATATAGGCTAAGGCTAGCGGAAGACATAAAGGTCACTTTTCCTCACGCTGCTAAATTCTACTACCATTTTATACTGTTACATTCTTTGTTAGTCAAACCCCTACCTTCATGTTCTCTGCTTTTTTTTCCATCATAGTATTTACAACTGGCCTAATGCTCTGTTTAGATGTGTCAACATCCTGTACGGAGGCATCAGCAGGGCTGTTACCATCAGCAACTTTCTTTATAGGTAATAGAGTTGGGTCTGTCTTTCAATGTGCATTTTGTTTCTCTTTTCTAGACACCAATATATAGATATTGACTTAGCGTTTTCTATGCTCTTTTTCATAAATTTGACCCAACCAAATAATTCACATGCTTAATTTCCTAATTCTTTCTTGGTAGAAGTACCTATTAATCTGGTTTATTGTATCCTTTCTTACATAGAACACGTATATAGATATGTGTATTTTTTATCTATTAGACTAAGGCGTGCATGTTAATTGACAAATGTGAAAAACACAAGATTGCAAGCATGCCAATGTCACTATGTTCCTTCTATGTGTCTGCTTATGTCTTTTTTGAATTTCCAAGGGAGAGCCCCTCACACCTGTTTCTGCTGGATGTTTCTTACAGGTAAAAGGGCATTTTCCTCTCCACTGTCACTGCATGCATGCTTTGTACTGTATTAGGGATTGCTGTTGGTCAGAGACACAATACAAACCAATACTCACTTTTACTACATGCATACATGCTTTTTCTAGAATTGTGCTGCTTAAGGTGGCTGCTCTTTGGAGTACCTCCAAAGAGCAGCCACTGATATTCTTTTTTAAGAGAACCTTAATCCTTTCATATTTGGATCAGAGTTTCTTTTTATGATGTTTTTTACCTCTTCGGATGAATGCTGTGAAACTAGAGCGATATTCAATAATATTTTTGTCCTGTTTGGATACTTGTTATGATGTGTAACCACAGCAACCA